CTCAGAGCTTCAGAGCAGCTGAGTCAAAAGTTGACAAGTCCCATGTGCCCGTAATTTCACCAGCACTCTTACCCTTTCCAACCGCGGTAATCTTCACATTACTCCTTGGCGGCAGAAACAGGTAAGGTGGCAGTACTTCCCTGGACGAACTCTTTCACAAGGAGCTGTACTGCTACTATATTATTTATAATATCTATAATTATTTATGTACGTTTACAGTTAGTTGCAATCCTGAGAATTAAATGACTCCTATAAAATACAGGTTTTATAGTTTTACCATTCTAAAATGATTTGGAAAATGAACACCAATGGATCGGACACGCCGAGTGAATAAACTGATTATATCATAAGATTATGAACGGTCTTGACTAGTTTCTGGGGGTCTACTCTCGATCTCCGTCCGACATCCGTCCGAAACAATTACTGCCAAATAAGCAATACTTGACCAAATGAAAAGACGCGCGATGCGAATGAAGCTTCATACTGGATACTTGTCTTTTAATTTTGTCGAATATTACTTATTTGACAGTAATTGTTTCGGACGGATCTCGGACGGAGGTATGCCAAGTCGTTACTAAATAGTTCCACTTTTTTAAAAGTAATTGGGAGGAGAGAAGAGTCACAAAGCAAAACTGCGTTTGACCTCAGATTCTGCCAGGATAAGGTGGTCGATACGGAGGGCAAAGGGGGATAAAGAATATTTATTTTTTCTAAAGGTCATTTAGCAGACTGTTGCTGTTGACTGTACTAACGGACAAATCACATTAATAAAACATCTGATCCAGACTTATCCAAAGCTAATATCTTTCGTGAGTGTTTCAGGATACAACCTACGCCGTCTATTGGTGGCGCTTGGTAATAATTATATAGCATTATTGTAGATTGCTGGGTGGTGGTATTACGATGAAATAAACATTTATTAATATTATAATAATAATATTTGAGAAGACAGATGTCTTTCAGAGATTGGAACTCGTAATCCCTTACATACTTGACATGTGTCCTACTCACCACTAGCCTATCACTTGAATAAAATTGGGTCAAGCATTATTATCATAAGTTCAATGATGTTCAAAGGCTTATTTGGGTTATATTATGCCCATATCGGTTTTCCGCAGGATGCTGAACAAGGCAACCATTTTTATTAATTTGTTTGCCTGAGGCTTTATCTGCCGTAGTGCTTGGGAAACGATGTTAATAATTTAAACGAGATTAAACATGGCGCTTTGGAGAGGCGAAATAAATATAAATGAAAAAAACAAAGTTGTTAGTAAAAGGTCTCAGGATTGCAATGATTTATAAGCTTTTATAATAAGACTCCGGTTGATATTCAAAATCTGTTATTTACGAGGTTTAAAACTACAGGGAAATAAAAACTTTATACTAAAGGTATAAATAATACATCTTCTGCGTACTTGGATGACAAAAATTCGTGGTAACGACCCGTTTAGCTCTTGCAGGTAGTCTTAATCTTCGATGTTTGAAATAAATATTCTAAATGTTGAGGTGTTCAAACGCATATTTAAAAGAGTAATCTCTTAGAGTATCTTGCTAATTCATCTCAGGGAAATCTGCCGTACGAGTGAGTCGTAGTTCAAATAGTGTGACGATTTCAAGTGTAAATTGCTAACCTATTAAATAAAGATGATTTGAATTTGATCATTTTGTGTATTTGCAAAGAACGGTAGTCATCGGGAGCATTAATTGGGCAAATTTTAGCCCGAGTGTTCTCTTCCTATTTCATATTCTTTAGAGAGCCAAATATTTAGTGAGGACGTCGAATTTTAACACCGGCCGTTGAAACTGTTTTTGCTCGCTTCCCGAATATTCAAATGTTGAGAGGGCCAACATTGTTACGAGAAAAATGTTCGTGAATAGCAAATGATGCCGATGAGTACCTACTAAAGGTGCGTAATCTGACGAAGCGCCGTTGTAATCACATCTCACGCAAGCCTCGCCCAATCTCGCGCGCGCTCAGCGTACGTACAGCGCGCTTGCGGGTCGCGAGCTTGTAGTTCAGTTCGCTTCTCCCAATTGTAAAGTTTCTTGTGAAGATGTCAGACGATAACACAGCTGCCCTCATTATCGCTGCATCGTCAAGTATTTTCTTAATGCGTTTAGTAATAAAGAAAAAGAAGAGAAGACAATGTTGGTGGCACTTTGCATTTTACAAAAAATACAGACTATAGAGGTATCGGAACTGAAATGTCTGGTAGTTATTAACAAATTGAATTGATGAGTTCTGAGGTGAGGTGTGGGAGGAAATAAGCACACGCACTGCGCTAGCGCATATTACGCGCGGCGTATTATATGACGCGCGAGCGGTTAGTGAACATATAGCACTTCGTAACTCACATAATGCAGCTTGGGAGCCTTAGGCAAACAGACGCTTTCACCAGATCTGTAAACACCCTAACAAATTGCTCAAGACATGGTCGTCAAGAAGTGCTTAGCTCGCGAAAGAAAGCGCTTCCGAAGTGAAAACTCCCGTTACAAATGCTTCACAGTTATTCATAGTGGATTTGCGATAACAGGCGAATCTTTTAGATACTATTTATATTACGAGTGCTTAATGTTCCTTAACAACGTTTAAAAAAATTTTTACTTTTCTACTTACTATTACAAAATTAGTCGCTGCACTGTTACAATGTAGCAATGTAAACTTTGAAATAGCCATAGTTTTTAAACGTTCTGTTATTTGTAACTAATATTTTCATTGTACTATTTCTTTCTTCGTCTAATACATACCCATGAACTTAAGCATAAATGCTTCAAAGATCAGCAGAAATAAGAATTTTATTTCTGAAGAGAAACTGTACCAATAATATGATCTTTCTTTTGAAGTTGACATGTACACTGACCACACATTTTCCGTCGCACAAGTAAATGTGTATTTTTCCCAGCTATAACGAGGCCTTGATGTTTTCCAACACAGTGAGTCAGAGATAATAATACAGTTTAATTTCTTTAATTCTTTATTTCAGAATACATAAATACCCATTAGTTTAGTACATAATAAAATGTATTATCAACAACAAAATATAGAAAAATCTAACTCCACCCTAAATTAGTGACGAATTTCAACTTATGGTTATATTTAGTATTTGTGCATTCAAAATGTCTGTCACTAAACAGTTAATTTGATCTTAGTATTTTAAGATGTATAATATATTCGTAATACATATTCATAAGGTGCGCTGGTTCGTTCCGAGGTTTAGTTATGACTGGCACGGTTTGCTCGAAGACGCTGGTTGGAATCCAGCCGGATCGAGGGATTCTTTCTTAGTGTTCGATTTTCGTATTAATAATTACACCAAACTGGTATAATTATACTACTAATTATTACTCCACAGTAATTTCACAGAAAATAATTGAATATCATGGTGGTGAAACATTCAACAAACTTCATCACACAATTCATAGGTTTTGTTTCCGAATGCTGTGTATAGTTGTCACTGGAATGCAGATTTACTGATGTTTTTCTTTTGTATTGTTTTAAAATTGTGTTTTAATCTGTTTTCTGTAATCTGTATCATTACAATAATAAAATAAAAAATAACAATAAAAATTTTACTTAGGTGACAAATTAAATAAATACGTAAGGAACGTCTAAACGAACTAAAGTCGTTGACGTAATCGGTTGTAGAATCATGCAAATAATAAAGGTTGCTAGCCGCTACACTGTTAACTAAGTCCCAATACACTGTGAAAAATTAATTTCCAAATGTTCTATCACAATCGACTTGATGAATCAATAAACATCGAGAGTCCATTCTCTAAAGCAGATTATTTGAAATTTAATATCGACTTTAATATTTGTTGACATCACATCGTCATCAACATCCACAGACGACTTTACCAGCAGGCCTCCCGTCGAACACGATCCTGCGTTAGTCGTAGTTTGTGCTGTCCAACATGTTCCGGCATTACTCTGACCCATCTACGATCCGCATCTTTCACAATGTCGTCTGCTTATCTCATTACAAGACGTCTCACGTTTCTGTAGCCGCCTCTCGGCCACCATTCGGTTGTCACCTTGCTCCATCTGTCATCTTCACACTTCGCAATATGTCCCGCTCTATTCCATTTCAGCTTCGTAAAATTTATTTACTAAGAAGTTTTTTATGATTTAAATAATAAATTTTATAAAAGATTATGTCGGATACTGAGAATCTTATTTGCAAACAACAAAAATAACTTCTATTTTAGCCTAAGCGACGCGGAGAGATCAAATTAACAAAATAACTTTAGCTACTGAAATAGCTTTTTTAAATCCGCTGTATTGATAATGGGTGTCCAGTACCATTCAGCACCAGGTACAATCTTCACGCACGCGTATATACTGAATTTCTTCATAGCAACAGTTGTCTACGAAGCCAATCGATTAAATTCTAGTTTAAATAATATTATCACATAATCGATGAAGATGAAAGTCGCTATTAACTTTAAATTTTTACAAGGAACTCTATTGGCTAACAGATAATCGCTCGAGATCGAATTAAAAGATAATAATAGATTAGGTGAAGAAGGGGCGATTTCTATACAAACGACAGACGTCCCGCGCAGGCCGATACCTTTAGTGCCATGGTAACCAACAAGTTAATTTACGATAACAATGATTTTGAATACAAGTTAGGAAAACTAAGAACAGGGGAAAGGAAACAAAAGTTAAGGATACAATAAAAGGAGGTTAACAGTGATATGAACCGTCCATTTCATTAGTGCAACCGAAATAAGATCTCTTTCCTATACATGCCAAGCTACGATCATGTTTGAGGTACAGTATAATGAAGTATTGAGTACACCCGTCTAGTGTGACTACTGTTCCCTTTATACCAACGTTACTTCAGCCAGTAGCTGTGACAAATCACTGAAAGCACGTTGAAAGCTTAGAGGGTGCGTTATTGCGTCAACCAGTGTAGTGCATATTAACCTGTGCATAAGCAGCCCATAATTTTTGGACATTGTCCCGTCTGCGCGGATACTAAGAAAGTAGAATAATGAGTGACACAGACAGTGAAGAAGAAAAGATAGTTGAGGAAGTTCGCCACAGTTCTTCGGAAACCAGTTACGATGAAGACGAAGTTGAAGAACCTATCAAGGAGGCAAAGGACGAGTCGACGGGCACTTTGGTTTCGCGTGAGTAGAAATTTCTGTAGCTGCTAATGTTCTAACGTATTTCGAGAGTCGTCAGGGTAAATTGTACAATAAACATATTTATTTGCAGTAGTAAATAGGTGCTTTTTCGAACTAACGGCAGAAGTTCCTTAATCGAGGACATCTTTAACCATAGTCAATGTTTTTAATCAACTCTTTACTAACCTTTATGTTGACGACATCGGTGGCCCAACGGTTTCCAATGTGGGTCTTGGATGAGCAGATCCCTGGTTCGATTCCCGGTAGGACCAATTTGGGAAATAAACATTTTTCAATTTGGTTCTGGTCTGGAGGTTCTGGGCAGTGCCTCGCAGTGAATTTTAGTGCTCTGGTACTCATAGCAGAGATAATTCTCCAGTTTGAGATCAGGTAATTGTTACGGTTGTCTGGCATTTTAGTACTATTACGAGTATTGTATTGTACGGATAATCCGATTCAGGTTCTTGTTATATTTATAAGTTTTCGTTTTGTAAAATTTATTTCATAAAAACAATAAGCCGCGTCACGTGTACAGTCCCGTCTCTGTGAAATACTGGCTCAAATCTTGCCTTATAAGCCTGTCGCCTCTCCCATGGCGGAAAAGTTTTTTTTATAATATCAAATGACGAGACGAACAAAGTCGTGCGCCTTATGGTAAGCTACACGCCTGTCCATAACAGTTGCAGTGCCACTCAGAGCTTTACATCGTGAAGATCTGAGGGGCAATGCCACTGCGCCCGTCACACTGAGACGTAAGTTAACAAGTCCAATGTGCCTGTAATTTCACCCTTACCTTCAAAACCGGAACACAGTAATGCTAACATTACTGCTTGGTGGGAGAAATATGTAGGTAAGATGGCAGTACTTTCCTGGACGAACTCTTTCGCAAGGAGCTCTACTACTACTGCTACAGTTGGATTGCATACAAGCATTAAACATAGAGTAGATGTTCAATTTCCCGATACTTTTATGTCTATGGAAATGATCTTTTTTTTACGATTTTTCGCCGGGTTCTTGCATTTATTTATAGCCTTCATAAATTGTACTGGTGTAGTAAACAGTGCCGTTTTTATCATACCATAACTATACCACATTATTACAATATCTCCCCTACTATACATTAAGTAAAGGTAGATACGGTGTTCTAAATAACAAATATCATTTGCGTTACAAGGTTTACATTGTAGAATCAAAATTGTGTCACGGGCACATCACCCAGATCATAAATTTGATTTACGTTTAAGTTATTTTGAACCCGATAGGAAGACTTACTTTAATTCATGAAAGGCTTTAATTTATTAGCAAAATACAAATAGAGAACTACAACTAGACAAGGAAAATGAGTAATCCATTTTCTATCCAATATGCTCGCATTAGGTGAGAGACGCATCCACTTCCGTGTCTTTAGTTAAACTAAGGGTCAATAATTGACAACGTTGACGATTTCAATTTTATTATGTTTATTAAATTAGCTCTAGTCTCTCACGTGGCAGAGGTTGCCCTCTCGTACCCCAACTTTTATTCCAACTCTTTTACCGTATCTGCAATCAGTTCGTGGAATTCCCTCCCTGAATCGATTCGACAATCCCCTTCTCTTGATTCTTTTAAACAATGTATCAAGGATCTCTTCCTCGATTCCTAATTTCGCCTGTTTTTTACTATCCTTTATTTATTTTCTCTATGCAAATTTCATTTTTCTCTCTTCATATCGTATGATATAAAATCTAATAAATAATTAGAAGTCATGGAACAAAAGTTGTTTAATGACGTTAGTAATGTAGTCCTGCGTGTTTGTCATTATTTTACAAATAACTAAATTTTAAATAAACGATACATCGTATGCGACTACAGTACCTAAAGTCTATTTTTAACCCCACTTCAGAAAAAGGAGGTTTTTTTTGTATGTTCATTTTGATGATTCTTATTTTGTTGGAAAAACTGTTCCTCAGTATTGGTCTCATATAAATTTGAAGACAATATTCTACCTCTAAGGGTGGCAAACTAGGGGATGAAACCGGTTTCGAGAACTTAGATTGTTAACACTTCAGTTTCAGTTTGTATGTATTTATGCATAAGCCTTAGAGGATGGTTTAAGCGAAGTTTGTAGTCGGTTTCTTTTTTTCAATAAAAAATATTATTCAGTTGAATCTTATATAAAAAAATAGATTATATTATAGAGATCTCTTTGATGTCATGATATCTCAAAGGAAAACCAAAACTGTCATGTCATTTACTTTTGAAAAGTGAAGTAAATGTAAACATAATTTTTACGTACATTTTGTAAATTATTAATTAATTTAGGGTGAGTTATTCTTACTACAATTCGTCGCCATACTTAATCAACCTCGTACTTTAAAACACAAAGTTACTGAAATGCAAAAAATGGATAGTATATCCAAATTTGCAGGCTGATTTCACATCACATTTCCTTCATATCGACACACTAGTTTTTGCCTATTGTAAACTAATGCCTCCAAATGAACACCCTTGATAAGAAATTTAAAATAAATAGAAAGTTTTGTATGAATCACTCTTAGGAGTAGTAAGTTAGGAGTTCGAGAAAGTAAGGCATCGAATTTGCGTACTGCGACGACCAATTAATATACTGCACTGTTGGTCTTCGGAGGTGGTAAAGGCTATATCCGCTGCGTTGGCCCGCAGAATTTTATTTTAATTTATTTTACGGGCGCCTTCAAATTGGACGTTTATAGAAGCTAGGTATTGTATGAAAATTAGTAGTGGCGCAGCTGCAACGCCACAGACACGCTGCTACAACGCTTCTACAAGCGTCTAATTTGGAGTGGCCCTAAAGCTAAAGGCCAAGTCGTTAACAATGGCTGTCGTTCACGGCTTGCATTTTTGTTTGAATACAATAATCACTGAAGCGATGCAGCAGGCAACCGCTTGGCGTTAAGTGTCCACACGGTTGGGAGCAGGAATTCCAAATCCACTAATTGTAGGGATACAGTAAATTGGGAACCGTGATATATTTACAGTGATCTGTAGTTTACTGTCGCTATGGTGTGATTCGGACTAGCGGTACTTTAACTTATACATTTTGCGGCTGTGTTTTCGTGCGAGTATTACAACAGTAATATGTAAGTGTTTACACTAGCCCTATGGGATTTTACACGTTTTCAATCAGTTTTATGGCCTTAGACTAAACTAAGTCGAACTCGGTCCTTCGATATGGAAGAAAAGCATTCTTTCAACTATATATTTTGTATGAAAAAATGAACGATTAGTTTATGATGTAAAATAACATTTCGAATTTTTGTTACAGTTCAAACACCAAAGAGAGTCAGAATGGCTTCATTGGTTCAATTACAGCCACTTCCTCGAAGAAAAAGATTTATACCTAAATATGAGGTAGAAGGTGTTGTGAAGCTCATATTGGGTGATGAAACTCAATTGCAGATCGAAATCGTGGTTGGAAGTCACGTGAACGCTCAGCACCCATGGAAGACTGTAGCGACAGAAAAAGTGATGGCCGCCATTGACACGAGTGGAGAACTTTCAGAATTTTTCCCTTTAAAAGAAGCTCTTGAAGCTTATGAAGAGCCAGAGATGTTAATTGGATACATTCCTGATGAATCGAAAGATGTAGATGAGTTTTACGTTTGTATCACAAAAGAGGCAAAAGAACATTGTCAACAGCAATCAGAAAAATTCATTAGAAGACAGGAGAAGAAATTAGAAAAATCACTCCAAAGAAAACCAAAACCATGGACAAGTTTAGGAAGTGAAATCGAAATAAATGAACTTGTACCTATAAATTCACGGCCCTTGATAGAAGTGGAAGTCAAAGCCACGTACCCTACTCTTTATGATCCTAAACATTTTATTGCTAGAGACGTTTTGGCAGTAAGAGATGGATACATAGAATTAACACCCTACAGACAAAAGTTTAATAATATTTATAAAAAGAGAGTTGATTGCGCCTCTCAAATAGGTCTTCCAAAAAGTCATAGAGCTCAACAAACCGTACTAAGATATCCGAAAAATATGTGGACTCAATCCGTTGCCGATGCTATGGGTCAATTCAAAAATCCTTTTGAAAAAGGAGAGGATGCATCATCAAAAAAAAACTTGGCAGAACTTTTTGATGAGGGTCAAGAAGATTCTTCGAGTGAAGATGAAGCTCAGGAGCCTGTTGATGAAGTGGGATTGGCCACTTACATGGCTGCGTTCAAGCGTTTGCGTCGATTATCTTACCAGAAACGGATGAAAGAATTTATGCTAGATAGGACTTCTGAATTTGATGATTTAATAGAATTAAATACAGTAATGGATATTTATTGTAATGATTATCCAAATTTACAATCAAAAAAAACGGTAAGCGTGTATGACTCTATGACTTTTGAAGAATACGTTTGCTTTACAGATGTAAGAGCAAAAGATAAATATGTTTCGTGTGCTGCGTTTCATCCAATGTGGTCAGGTATCGTAGCCATTTCTTACTCCGACGGCTCACCAACAGTTATGAAATTTGTGAGCACTCGTCCTGACCCAATCCAAAGAGCTGTATATGGTTTAAATCCTGTTTTAATTTGGAGCCACATAGATAGTTTAATACCAAAATTATACTTGGAAAGTCCACGAGAAGTGAAATCTCTGGCGTTTTGCCCGTTTGACGAAAATTTGTTATTAGGTGGCTGTATTAACGGACAAGTGATTTTATGGGATTTAACAAATAAATTAGAAAATGTAGAAAATGTCGAGGTATTGACTGAAACGAGAGAAAGGTATCGCATTGCTATGAATTCGCATATGTTGTGGTTTAAGAACATACAAGATAAATCAGTCGTGCAACCTACGGCAATGAGTAATTTACTGACAAGTCATTACGGCCCAATAACTACAATTAAATGGCTGTCACCTAATTTTACTGTATCATCAACAGGCAGAATGGGAATGTCTAGTGAAAATCAAGATCATCCGAAAGTATCATATGTGTGTTTCACTGGTTCTGAAGATGGTACTATACTAATATGGAATTTATCTATAGAAAACGTGTCATCACTTATGGATGGTAAAAAGGTAAAAAAATCTAAAAGAGTGTTACGAAGACCATCAGGTTTGATGACGGATGTATCTCCGTACAGAGTTTTAGATCGAAACTTGATGCCGTGCTATAAAATAATATTAGGTGTCGCTGGCCAACCAAAAACACTACCTGTGCAATCTTTTGCATTAAATAAGCCAGTTCTTAAATATATTCACGTTCCTAAGACAACCGCAACGGGAAGAAAATATTTTACTTGTGAGATTTTACCGCAAACTTCAGATGATTTCTTTACGAAAATTTATTGTGGTTCGCAACATGGAGAAATGAGACGTATTAAGTGGGAAGGCCATGCATTTAATACCGGTGAAGTCGTTAACTCTGAGTATGGAGATATAGATTACACCTGCTTTATACATGATGGAATTGTGAGTAGTACCTCAAGAAATTATTTCTTAAATGATATTACGGCCACTGTAGGTGGAAAAGTATTTGCAATCTGGAGTGACCAATTATTAGGTCGACCATTACTGTGGAAAAAACGTTCCTGCCGTTTAACTGATGTGAAATGGTCATTGTACAAACCAAGTATGTTGTTCATATCGACTTCAGAGGGTGATCTGGAAACATGGGATCTGTTATTGCGAAGTGACCAACCGATTGCCACGCAAACTGTTTCTGGTACAATGTTGACTGGCGTTTCTGTACACACTCTACCGTTGCAGAAAAATATTATTGGAGTGAGTGATGCATATGGCTCATTCCAAATGTTTATTGATCCTCCTATATTTATGATTGAAAACATAACATATGGTAGTCGCATGGAAGCATTAGTACAGAGAGAATTGAATGTAAAGGTATCTTTTCTCAAATGGCAACATCAATGGATGAAACAAAACCCTGGTATTTTAATAGAGATGAACAGAAAAGAAGGCGCACTTTTGGCCGAGAAGGAAGAAGAAAAACGTAGGAAAAGAGAAGCAGAAGAACAGAGATTAGAAGAAGAAGCTGAAGCTCGACGCTTAGAGAAAACCAGATTTATCGGGCCAGTAGAGCGCTGGCAGATAATAATACAAAAACTTATAGAGCGAACTATTGCTGTAAAGAAACGCATTAACAGAGCTGAGCTTATAGAAGACGAAAAACCACTTAGGGAATTAGAAGCACAGCGTTTAGAGAAAGAAAGACGTATGCTTGAAATTATGAAGAATCAAAAAGCTATTTTTAATGATACGGTGGCAATACTTTTTCCTGAAGCAATTAAAAAGCCACCAAAACCAAAAAAGACTTATATGTCTGATAATAGAGATAAATTGAAGAAGGAATATTTAGAAGATTACCAGTTTCTAAAGGCACTTGCCTTTAAAACTGTTAACGATAATCCCTACAAGGCTAGCTTCTCTTGGGAGGCAACTATAGCAGAAGGGAAAGAGAGGAAACAAGCGTTGAATGCCCACGAGTCATTTATAAAACTACACAAATTGAGGTTGGATGACGAAGACTTCTTCACTGCACCTGTGCCTGCTGCGATACAAAACATAGCTGAAGATGAAACAGTAGAGGAAGAACAGGCAGAAGAAAATAAAGAATGAGATTTCCTTACAATTTTGTAAAGTTAGATAGAAATGTCTAAGTTATAATGGATTTTAATAATAATTTAATATACGAGTACATATAGTGCAAATTTTTCATTCTACAGACATATATACAAATAATTGTTTATAGCGACTTCTGATGCTCCTGATGAATATCATACCATACTTTATTTATCGAGTTCTTAGGTTTTCGCGATTGTTACACATAGGAAATGAAACTATTTTTCCGGATTTAAACCTTTCTTTCAATCTTACGTTTGTTTGAAAAGACAAATATACGCGATTTAAATCCGGAAAAATAGTTTCATTTCCTATAGTTTATTTACTTAGTATCACGGTGCTTATTATAATAATTATTTCTGTCATTATATTGATTATTGTTCTTAATTAAATATTGAAGTATTTGAATATATTTGTTATGACGGAAAAGTGGTTGTAACATTTTTCATTTTGTTTTTCAGAGTAGTTTGAAATTTGAATTTATTATTAAAATCGAATTTGATGTTATTATTTAGCATTAACATTTCCACAGATTATAAATTTGTTCTAATAAAATAGTTTATCTTTATGCTGGTCGTAATTTGTAGTTTTTGAACACATCTAGAGGGTTTATGATATGTGTTTATATAAAGAAATTTTATATGACAGCATGTGTTAGCATGTTGTCGTTGTTATCGTATAGTCATTAACTTTCCTGCAGCATGGTCGCATTTGTGTCTAATTATAATAATAATATTATTAATTATACGTCTAAAAGTACACTACGCTTAATATTTACCACATTCAGCTCCTCCATGTCGTCCTCACAGTTGAACGACGGTGCCACGCATAGTTTTCGCTTCATATGTGCTGGTTTATATCTTTTTTGTCGGTTCACAATGCTAAAATAGGGATGACATCTGAAACAAACAAGAAAAATATGAAAATTAAAAAGTTATGCAGTAGAATAACAGTGATTCTTTATTTTGTTACCATAATACAATACAGTGAACATAATAAAAGTACAAACTAAACTATGATAAACATATTGTCAATACATTTGTGTGGGTAACATTAACGCAATAACTTTTACGCTTTACATAGTGTGGCATGAGTGAGATAATTACTATTTCAAAAGTAATTGATGGTGTTAATACTTTGAGCGCGCGCGCGTACATGTGTGCACGTGTGCGTGTGCGTGTTCGTGTGCGTGTGCGTGTGCGTGTGCGAGTGCGTGTGAGTGTGCGTGTGCGTGTGCGTGTGCGTGTGCGTGTGCGTGTACGTGTGCGTGTGCGTGTGCGTGTGCGTGTGCGTGTGCGTGTGCGTGTGCGTGTGCGTGTGCGTGTGCGCGTACGCGAGCGCGTGCGCGTGCGCGTGCGCGTGCCAGTGCGCGTGCTTGTGCGTGTGCGTGTGCGTGTGCGTGTGCGTGTGCGTGCGCGTGCGCGTGTGCGTGCGCGTTTGCGTGTGCATGTGCATGTGCGTGTGTGTGTATATTTGTGTGTGTGTCTATATCTTTTTGTCTTTTGTTTTGTTTTTGTAATATGTAATTGTGAATCCACCAACATGAGCTATCATTTAAAAAAATACGACATCAAAACATGTAATACACAGTTTTCAAGGAAATAAAAAAAAAGAGCTGGGTAGATTACAGTGTCCTCGTTGCAGCATCAGATTAAGCTTACCACGTTATTGTAATGTCATCTGATTTCCATTATATACCACATTTCAAGTCGAGCGGACAAGTGGAAGTAATGTAAATATGTTAAATTTTTATTGAATTGATATTCAATTATTTTTTGTGAAATTACTCCACTAGTTTGTTATAATTATTAACACAAAGATCGAGCACTCAGAAAAAACTCATTCGATCCGGCCGGATACGAACCGACGTCTTCTAACATATCGTGTCAGACGCTATACCAACTAAGCCACGTAACGAACCAGCGGACCTCACGAATTTTTCTATGTGCTTGCGTCATGTCTTTGCATTTGGTTTTTCAACGACTTTTTAGTCGTAGTGCCATCTATGACAAATCTATGAAAGATTTATCACCCAGTTAGTATACCTTTACAGCTACCAGTCCTGGCGAGAGATGTCGCTGTTCACTGTATTTAAAATTTTTATTGAATTGATATTCAATTATTTTTTGTGAAATGACTCCAATAGTTTGTTATAATTATTAACACAAAAATTTGCCGGATTTGAACCGACGTCTTCTAGCTTACCGTGCCAGACGCTATACCAACTAAGCCACGTTTCATAGATTTCTCATAGATGGCGCGACGACTAAAAAGTCGTTAAAAAACCAAAAACAAAAATGTTAACATGACGGGAAAAAGATTTGATGATCTTTAAACAGTTGAACAAATGATATGATATTGAACAAATGTTGATCAAACTTAGCTAAAAAAGTTATTAATAAAAAGAAAACGCTTTGAGATCGGTCTATCACAGACACATATACACAGATAATTGGTGAATTTACACACACATAGGACTTGTCAATTATGTCTTAGGATGACGGGTGCAGTGGCAATACTCCTTAAATCAAGTGATGGGACGATCAAGTCGTGCGTCTGCTGATGGTAAGTTACACGCCAGTTCAGAATAGTTGTAGTGCCACTCAGAGCTTTAAATCGCAAAGCTCTGAGGGGCACTGCCGCTGCGCCCGTCACCCTGAGACATAAGTTGACAAGTCCCGTGTGCCTGTGATTTCACCAGCACCCTTAAGCTTCAAAATCGGAACACAGCAATGCTGCTTGCTCATGGTACATGTAGAAATAAATTAGCAGTTTGATTATAGTTTTAGTCCTATAGTTATTAAGATTATTGACCATTTCTTTGAATATGCAAGCGGTTGCGCCGAGAATGGTTTTTGAACCGAAAACTATAGTGAACGAATGAAAGCACGTTTAAGGAACTTACAAAATATCAAGAATGGCTCTCTGGGCGAGGTCAGGCACAGAGATTGCTCAACTCATCGGCAAAACGGAGACGAGACTACCCTTTTTTATTCCAATCAACTATACATATTATATACAGTCCATAAATCGACGAGAGGCATCGCTTGCGTTCCCCGCATGGTTGGCCATTTGGGCTACCCGTAATTAAATCGCGCCACCACTACTTACTTATCCTACGTATCCTTATAAAAAGTAAATCATATTTAATAATAAATACAACATAATACTAAAATCATGCAATTGTAATAGGTAAGATTGTAAAATTTGCGTTTTCGAAGAATTTAGATTAATTTCATTACGTGGATATATGTCGGATCGTGTGAAGGAAATCAAACTATTAAACTGGTTTAATTGTTTATTTTCAATGATATTTGGAAGACACGGAACAAAAAAAACACCTTGCAGCTTTATCGTCGTCTATCTTAATGTCCTTTCATTTACTCATTCGCTCCTCAAAACAGCTTCCAGTCATTCTATCCGCTCATTTACATCAATCATTCATTTACAATGTTACCATGCATTCCCACATATCTTGCAATGCTCCTGACTGTACGTAGAATATTGTTAATTTTGCGCAGCTAGTAATTTTGCCTATCGGTAGCCTAGTGGTTAGCACTGTGAGTGTTATATGAGAAGGTCCTGCGTTCGATTCCCAGTAGGACCAAATTGGGAAATGAATTTTTCTGCATTGTTTCTGGTCAGTGTGTTCTAGAATTACATAGTACAAAGAGCTCCTTAATTTGAAACCACGTAGTTGATGTGATTATCTGGTAAATTGTGATTATTACTACCAATTAAGTTTGAATGTGAAAGGACCATTTTAGTATTTTAGGACAGGGCTTCAACTTCTGCTACATTAAAGGAAAACCGACTTTAATCAAAGCTAAAAGGGTTAAATAAACGTTTGTTCAACTTTTAGTGGTTCCAGTTAGTTATTTTCCACCTTTGACTATGGTGTAACGGGTCAAGTGATATAGGACTGTAAAAAGGTGAGAGAGTGATAAAAATTTTTGAGTACAGTCAAATAGAAAGTCGCATCGCTGATCATTTCCATGATAAAATAAACAATGCATAAAATATTGCTTATCGCATGTTAAATAATACAATCACAATACAGAACACTAATTAAGGCATGAAAGATTAAGCTAATGTACAATAGGCGGCTTTACTAACATAGCTCATAAGGTCATTGTTACTAACACATATGGATGTAAATCTGAAATAAATGTATTATTATTATTATTATTATTATTATTTACGGTAAAACGATAATTTTTTCCAGACAACCTTTTTTTTTTTTTTTTTTTTTTAACATGCAAAATTAGGAGATAAAGATATCAATAGTAATTTAGTAGCAGTAGATAGAGTTCCTTGTGAACGAGTTCGTCCAGGGTAGTACTGCCACCTTACCTATTTCTGCCGCCAAGCAGTAATAAGTAAGGGTGCTGGTGAAATTCACAGGCACGTGAGACTCGTCAACTTATGTCTCAAGGTGACGGGCGCAGTGGCAGTGCCCCTCAGATTATTGCGATTTAAACCTCTAAGTGCCACTACAACTGTTATGGACAGGCGTATAGTTTACCATCAGGCGCACGACTTGTTTGTCCCATCACTAAATATTATTAAAAAAATATATAAGCGATATTTTATTGATGACTTTAACAGCAATAGGGTTCTGTGTTAAACCGTTCGTCTAGAGAAGTTCTGCCACCTTACTTATTTCTGCCGCCAAGCAGTAATCTACGTTAGACGTGTTAACCAAGAAGTATTACGGAGCGATATTTTGTTATACGGTAAAATTCTTTAAATTAAAAATTTTTTGTTGACGAAGACTTTCACAAGGAGCCCTATTGCTAACTAGGTAGGACCTGTGCTATGAGTCTTCGGATCTTCAACCCATTGTATTAGAAAGTACTGAATTAATAAATTTAGTAAATATATAGGTAATAGCATTAAAGAAAATATATGATGTAGCAATAAAGTAAATATATAATAACCTAAGAACTTGATAAGAAAATTTATATTAAGAAAAGGAAGAAAAATAAAAATGTTAAATCTTTAGGTAACTCGATTAAATTTCATATGGCTACGCCCCGGGGCATTGCGTGCAGGATGCTGGTAACTTTTCGCTTTTAGATGGCTAAGTTCATTATTTGGCGGAAGTAGTTAAAAGTTCCCTGACCTTCGGTGCTTCAACGAGGCAATCTTG